GGAGGGGGTGAAGGGAGGGCTAGGAATGGGCAAAAAATAAGAACCAAGATGCATCATGTAAAGGTACAATTCCCAGTGAGAAATGTAATTGTGTTGTCTACCTACAATGTACCAATAAAAGAATTTAACAAAAAGAAAAACAAAAACAAAAACAAAAGCAGGTGGGGCTGTGGGGAAAGAGAAACCCTGCTCCACTGCTGGTTGGAGAGTAGACTGGTGATTGGTGACTTCCACAAGCTTCCTCCAGCACCCAAGACACTTCCTGGCTGTGTGTGTTTGGATTATGAGGAAGTTTCCTTTAAGTGATCTCGGAACTGCAAGTGCGGCTGACCTTCCGGAGCACGCACCGCGTGTCAGGCTCTGTGTTCTCACCCTAAACTCTCCACTGCCCTGCCACGACTGCCCCGGGTGGGAAGAGCGAGCTCTCCGGGGTCGCAGAGCTGCAGGGAGGCACACGCTGGCTCCAGGCTGCCTGGGGCCACCGCAGCTCAGCTCAGGGACATCCTGAAGCCACCTCGTCCCCAAAGCCATCCCGTCCACCTCAGACGCTGCAGGGTTCTCGGGGCAGCGGCCCCCATGGCCCCTTCCAGTCTGCTTTCAAGCACCAGCTATAAAAAGAAGTGCAAGTGCACTCACTCTTCCTTCGCCCGGTGAATGACACACAACGCGAAATTTACCATTTTAAGGCCCATAACTCAGCGGCGTTTATTGCAGTCACGAGGTCCTACGCCACCTCACCCTCCAGTTCAGTCTCAGAACACCATTAGCTCCCCAAAAGGAAACAAAGGGAACCAACCAATCACGTGGGAGGGGCCCAGCCTGACACTGTGACCGTCACCCCTCAGGAAAAGCCACCTACCTGGTGGAACTGCACTGATCCCCGGGAGGCGATGCCCCATTGTGCAGCAATCTTGCCTGCCTCCTAAAGTCCTACACCCTCGCACGGTCACCACAGTAGGGACCAAGGTTTGGGGGACACGCCCAGATCCTGTCCGAAGCACTGAAGACCCCCAGTTCTGGTCTCTGCTGCCGCCTCTGGTGAATCCTCTCCTTACACATGCTGGCCCTGACACCTATGCCTGATGCCCTAGCATGGAGCCCTCCTTACTCCTAACCTGTCCCTGGCTGTCCCTCCCCATTCCTTGGACAAAATCCTCCTGATTGTGCTGGGCCTGGAGCACCCAACATCAGTTGTCCTTCCACGTGGTGCCATTCTCGTCCCTACCTGGGCAGTGACATGCGTGCTAGGCTGACTCTGTTCTGCTCAGGCTCTGACCTCCGACGCCCTGCAAGCACAGGTGCCATCCCCCCCACACACTGGCTGCCAGCTCCCCTTGCTCGGTGCCCCCCTCTGTACAGGTCTACTTGGCGGTCAATGCACACACCAGTATGTGCCCATGCAGAAGCCTTGGGTGACATCTTTCTTACCTTCTCAGGTGTGATGGACACACTCCTCACCCTGCCTGGGCTCAGACTTCCTCTCTAGGACACCATGGCTCTCTCTCTTTCACCAGGGAAGTTCTCCTAATCTTCTGGGTCTCATCTATTCCAGAAATGACCTGTACCAAAAGGGAAGGAGTACGAAAGAGGAGGAAGGAAGGAAGTGGAAGAAACCCCAGCCTGTGAAAAGCATGAGTTTCTGATGCACCTGTGAGCTTCTGAGCTCTAGCTCTACTCTGCTTCACTCTTCTTTGTTTCTTATAGCTGGAGAGAGAGTTCAAGCTTGGGGATGCATTTAAAAAATAATTATATTTTATCCAGTATAATCCATGTACATTAAAAAGAAATAAGGTCTTCCTGGATCAGCCTCTCCTGCTGTGCTGATTATGATAGTTGAGCCCGAATTAAAAGATTAAGTGAGGAGCCAAGTGGGTGGAGGGGGAGGAGAGATGAGGAAGGCGAATCTGAGAGCAGACAGGGATAGAAGATGTCAGATGCATGCATGCTGCAGTGAAGAAGACAACACAGTTCTGGAGAAAGCTGGAGGGGTAGGAGAGGTGAGACTATCCAGAGAGTTTGTCTATAGCCTACAGTGAAGGACGGCCAGAGCTCGACCAGTCACCTTTCACAGATTCTCCCTAGTCGGACCAGGGATCCAGGCCAAGGAATTCCAGCTAAAGCAGTGGCTCTTAAGGGAACCTCACCAGACACGTGTTGTGCCAGACCCCAGGCCTGTGCCTTCAATTCCTGTGACTCCTCTGGTTCCTGACCTGTCTGTCCTGGAGGTCCGCAGATTTCTGACTTTCCAGCAGCTCCTCCATCTCCTCAGTGCTGATCTGACTGTCTGCCCATGCTACTTCTGAGATCTAGACCAAGTATGTGGCCCTAACCCACAGCCCCACTCCACCCAGGCTCCTATCAAGTCCATCACACTTAGATGAACTTTTACTCTTCAGACTTCAGACCTACCAGTCAGTGGCATTTTCTACTAAATCAAGAGATTTCTCTAACAATTGAGAAGTGCTTTATCAAACCCTGCAGTGACTAGCACCTCTTCATCATGTTCCTCACCATAACATTTGTGTTATGTTCCTTTGTCTCCTTTTCTTGCTAACTGGAACTTTAAGTCATTGATGCTATCTTTGTAGAGAGCCCTTTATCTTTCCTATCCAATCAGAAAAGCTGAAAGCAGAGCTTGTAGTACAGTGTGGATCATGAGCACATGGAATCTTATCTGTGGACAAATTTAATTAACAAGAATCTATAAAATTCAGTGATGGCTAAAATGCTCCCAGGCTGTGCCATGGTGCATAAATACAATTAATTACAGAAGGTTTTTTTTTACAGAGATGAAATTGAGGAATAGAATAATGACCTAATGTGTAACACCTCAACCATGTCCATATGTCCATTTTGAGGTCTTCAGTAAAATAGTCAGAAAGGTTCCAAAGTGAGAAGAAAACCACAGTGGCTCATCAAAACTTTAATAATCATAGGCAACTGACTGAGTTTCCTTCAACAGAGGAGGAAATGTAAGGGACTATGACCCGAGAGTGTGATTTAACACTAGCTACCTACAATCGATCAGTAAACAGGAGGACTATGGATGCATATCCTAAATGCTTAGCAAAAGTGCCATAGAGTAGGGACTCAATCCATGTTAACGCACCTGCTTTGTGTGAACCACGACGGAACCCCACTTCATCATATTGAAGCGTAAATTGATTTGTGGGACCGCCCTTTGTTAATGGACGCACGCAAACTTTGCTTGATTCATACTGTGAAATGGGATAAGCTTTTGGCTGCTGGTGGCTTTCCAAGTTCTAGGAACATTTTTGTCAAAACATATGAGAAAGACGTTTGACACAAGTGAATCTATCCTTCTCCAACTGTTTCCCTCATCCCCTCCCCAGTTCAGGGGCTGCACTGCAGGTGTGGGGTTGGAAGATGGAGCCACCACCCCACCATTCCTACCTGTCGTACACAGCACATGACACTGGGCATAGTGATTTCCTTTCATTCCCAGGCTGCAAATATCTCCTCAGGTAACAACCAAGAAACCGATTCTGAGAGTAAGAACCCACAATACGTTCATCCATTCCACATGCTTTAAAATGCCATTGTTTTAGATTACAAGAATAGCATTTAACTCATTCTAGTACACTTGAAGAATAAATATTATTATTCCAAAGAATATAACTAACTAAAATCCTACCATACAGAAAGCTACTTTCTTGCAAAAGTACTGAGAGTCTCTTCTGGCCCCACACTTTGCTGGGTGCTGGGCATCAGTAGTAACCTACACAGGTAAGGGTGTTGCTTTTGAGGAGTTTGTGTTTCAGGGGTAAGGAAGGAAATATGTAAATGAAGAAGCAAATTGACTACTAATCATGGTAAGAGCCCTGAAGAGAGCAAGTGAGACAGAGTTTTTAGAAAAGGGGGGATGTTATATGAGATGAGCAAGGTGGGCATTCCAAGGTAACTTCTGCATACAATTTGAAGGGAGAATAAAGCTCTGTAAAATGTCATCGGAAAATCCCCTCTGGTGGAAGGAAGCTCAGTCAGAGACCAGGAAACAGGAAGAGGTTGGTGGGGAGAGTGGACTGATGAATGCTGTGCATTAGCAGGGAAATGATACCTGATAAATTATGGGAAATTAACGTTTTGGGGTTATATCCTCTAATCTTACTTTTTTTTTTTTTGGTACCGGGGATCGAACTTGGGACCTTGCGCTTTCGAGGCAGGCGACAGAACCACTGAGTTACATCCCAGGCCCTCTAATCTTACTTCTATATATAGACATAACATTATGCCAATTATTTTTCTCATAGCAATGAATGTTTTCTTAATGACAGAAGGCTGCCGCTGACCCATTAGGATCTGTGGAGTGAGTTGCCTTTTGGAGCTGTGCCCGGTGGTCCAGGGCTGCTGGGTCACCGTGGGAACAGCTGGGGTGATGGCTGGATGCTGTCTATGATTCACACTCAAGCCTAGTTAAGAGAAGCACTTGGGATATTATATAAGAAAACGTTCCCTAAATCTTCAGACAAATGTAGTTAAATAATACTGATAAAGACATGTATACTGCATTCCACTTTAAACCTTATTTGGTATAACCAGAGATGTGACAGCTAGTTATTTCTGTTTTACCCACAACCCTCAAAAACTGATTTAACCACCTGCCATTCGCTCTTCTGTGTCTTCTTTCTCCGCCCAGCTGTGCTGAGGACTGGCCTGTGCTTCTCCACCAACTGGGGGCTGACTGCAGTTCAGTGGTCTCAGAGAACCTGGCCCCAGCGCAGGTGCTGGCAGGATGCCAACAAAATTCTGGAGAAGACGGAGCTCTGTGTCCATGGTCATCAGGCAGACAGGTCTAGGCTGTTCATGTGGCAGGGGTCCCGGAGTCCCCAGGCTGTGTCAGTACCACACAGGGTACTCTCTTTTTGTGCCTGGCTCACAAAATCTCCCATTGGTTACAGCAAGCCTCAAGGCAACCTCGATTGGACGGGTGGACTCACAGACTTGCCTCATAACTGCAGGAGGACTGTGGTGACCATTTCTGCGATGCATCACAAAGGGTTCTTTGAGGTTCATATGCACAGGCCAGCTGTTAGTCAGTTCACCACAGGTGGTTCCAAGGAAGAGAATCAAGCAAAAGCACAACCTGCAGAAATGGGGGTTGGGCTAAGAAACAAACTAGGAGTATCGAGGGACCCACAGAATGCGGCGCAAAGCCACTACCGCCTCAAGGGCTGCAGGGGCCGGGGTGGAGACGGAGTTCTGAGAGTGGGTACAAGTGGAGGCCGGGGATGGCACCACGGAGTCTGGGAAGTGGCACCTAGGTGGGGAGATGCAGAGAGGAGCTGAGTCCCAGGGAGCAGCCAGGACTCCTGATTTACTGAAAGCATCTTCTTGGGAGAAAGGAAGTGTGGAAGCAGGACGAGTCAGGAAGAACTCTCTCTGGAGCCAGCTGCACCCTGACGTACGGGGTTGATCCCAGGCTGTGGCTGTTCTAGAATAGAATCCAGTCTGGTGTGGTTCTGACGTTCAGCCGGCAATCTGGACGGGGTGCGTGGATGCCAGTGAAGGGCTGGGCTCAGGGAGGAAGGCTGTCCGGAGTCGAGCTTTGCTTTACTGACGATCACATGGAAAGGGTGAGAGCACACCGCAGGCATCCACAGGAGCAGAACCAAGGGGAGAAAGGCACTGGAGTGGCCCAGAGGGTCCTGCTGCTCCAGAGCAGCCCCATTTACTTATTTAGATTACTTGCCGGTATGAGTGTATTGCTGGTTATCTTAAAAGTACAACAGATGGCTTTCAATAGTTTTTAAATTATATACAGCAATTCACCTGACCCTAAATTATGGACTCTCGTGAATTTGTTTTGTCTTGCGTATGGGAAACTGACCATCCAGAGCCCGATGAAGCCGTGAAGACGCCTGGGCTTAGCTTGCCGTGTGGCTGAATGAGGCCCTCGCAGCCCGGGCCTGCTTCCTCTCACGTGAGGGATCC